AATCAATTTAGAATAAAATTTAAACATAAATTTTATAATCAATTTAGAATAAAATTTAAACATAAATTTTATAATCAATTTAGAATAAAATTTAAACATAAATTTTATAATCAATTTAGAATAAAATTTAAACATAAATTTTATAATCAATTTAGAATAAAATTTAAACATAAATTTTATAATCAATTTAGAATAAAATTTAAACATAAATTTTATAATCAATTTAGAATAAAATTTAAACATAAATTTTATAATCAATTTAGAATAAAATTTAAACATAAATTTTATAATCAATTTAGAATAAAATTTAAACATAAATTTGTACAATCAATTTAGAATAAAATTTAAACATAAATTTTATAATCAATTTAGAATAAAATTTAAACATAAATTTGTACAATCAATTTAGAATAAAATTTAAAGATAAATTTTATAATCAATTTAGAATAAAATTTAAACAAATTTTATAATCAATTTAGAATAAAATTTAAACATAAATTTGTATAAGCAATTTAGAATGAAATTCATATATATAAATTTGTATAATCAGTTTAGAATAAAATTTAAATATAAAGTATAAGAATGTACAAAAATATTAAACTTGTACGAAAATTCAATTTAAAGGAAAACTCTAATTCACTTCACTTGTGAAAAGAATTTCAAGAATTATAACCGTCAAGAAAATCATCGTGATAATGATCGAAAATAATGAATTCCCATCAGGTGTGTATCAACGTGTTACGCTCTCGTTCCTAACGCCTTCATTTTCAAAGGCGGTGACGAAGAGGTCGAATACAAAGGCGGTCTCAAGGCGATGTCACCCGGTGAACATCGTACAATGAATTTAGACGTCAATACACCTGAAAAGCTAGGTAAAATGGTTTAAAATATTCGGCTGAAAGATATTGGAAACGGAACTACTTTATGATGAAATAATCGTGACAATAAAAATCAATCTGTTATGAAAATAAGAAACCACATATAACATGTACAATCATTTACTAATTGTTAGTATATCATGGTTGGTTTCATTAAAAATTATAAACTCGCGTTTGTAACCAAGAAATATTTGGATAACAAAATTATGTTACTTCCGGGAAATGAGAGGTTCCTGAGATCATTTGAAGTAACTTTTTCCTTAGCGAAAATTTTCTCTGTGGCTTCCTTAACGAGTTATTAACGAAAAACATTGACCAATGAGAGGCGAGCGTGGTTGGCGCGTGGCGGCCGAGCTAATGAGCGGAACTGTGCTCCGTCCTCTCGTTGGCACGGCCGCCTCGCGGCAGCTGTGCTCGTCTCTTATTGGTCACTGTTTTTCGTTAATAACTCGTAAACGAAGCCGCGGATTGCATTTTCGCAAAGGAAAAAGTTATTTCAAATGACCTGAGAAATCATCCCTTTCCGGATTGCGAGACATTTTTGTATGTATAATATTTTCTCTGTATAATACTTCAGAATATTAAGCAGATAGTTTATTTTTCTTTGTCACTTCTTTCAATTATTTTCTGTTATATTTTTTTTTATTTATTTTCTGTCACATTTCATGTATTTATTATGCATTATATTTAATATTTTAAACGGCATTTAGAATAGTTGTTCTTTTTAAATTTTATTAGCTGGAGTGGTCAGAGATTTCGCTAGCGTTTCTCCAATAGCTGGATTTCTTGCAAGCGGAAGTCCACCACCTCGACCGCCACGGGAACCTTTGGTCGATCCTCGTGCCGTGCGTAGCAAAAAGAAGAAGGGCAAGAAAAAGAAAAAATGAAACTAATTGACATAAGAATTTAATTACCATCCTTTTGTATCATAATTCATGCATTCCGTAATAAAATAATCATTAAAGCTGCTAAGTTACGATTTTTTGATTATAATCTTAAATAATAATTCTTAGGGCAACATAATTCATTTTTCAATGGCAAAAATGGGTTTCACTAGACCAAAGCTTTCGAATTTGATTGAAAAAAGACTCATCTTTGTGCGACAAATATTCAACAAAATAAAACATTGTAATTTATTTATTTTTAAACGACTAAAGAAAAATTCTTAAAATAGAATGTACCTTTAAAATTAAAATGAAAAAAATTCTACAGATAGTTCATGAAATAAAGATTAACGAGTGCAGCTTCTTTATGTAAAATCGGATAATGTAAAATTTTAAAGACTGCATAATGATTAATTTATAACTTTTAATGGACGAAATATGTTTTGATAAAAGAAATTGTTATAGTAGTTCTTGTCTGTTAGATTAAAATACAGTCTTCCCAAAAAATGATTAAATCGTAAACTTATAACCTTTGTATCTTATAAACAAATTCAAAATGAACGAAATGATGAATTAAACTCCCTTTAATTTCTTATACATTATATGATGCAATAATTTGTTTTAACCAATCTCTCTTATATCGACTGCAAAAGGATCGATCTCGAATGAGCCATTAGAGTTAAATTTTTATAAGGACAAGTAAAACTTGCAAACTTTATGTAAGTGTCTTTCGTAAACAAATTTGAAACGAGCAAAATGATGTCTTAAACTCCCCTTAATTTTACATACACTACATTATGCAACAGTCAGTTCTTGTCAAATTACCAGCTAGCGACTGTGCAATCAATTTTAAATGATCTGTTTATAAATATTGCAATATTAGAATACTGTAATTAGTCGACTGCAGATTTTATGCACTTATGGCACAAATAGGTAAAATTGGAAACAGTGGAAAGGTTAAAAGAAACTAAAATTGTGAAGATATACTAATTTCAGCTTATTAAAATTATTGCAGAAACAAATAAAATTGTAATTGTATTCATACAGAAAATATTTATTTCATGCATAAGTAAATAGCATTGTAATATCATAATATTGTAATTACTTAATAAACTGTAATTAATAATGTACTTAATAAACGTCCAATTTTTTCGAATGCCTTCCTACAAATATCAGTTCTTATGGAACATTCGCAAAAATTAGTCTAAGCAATGATTGCAATAAGTGAGAAATATTATATAGGAAATATCTTATGTACTTTCGCATCAGCAGGCTGGCCGTTACGCATTTTACGGTGAAAGAAGCAAAGTTGGAAATTCTCGTAAAAGTTTTTACCGAACCCCGCGCAACGGGACATAAATATGTAATAAAATGGCGGTGCCCGTGGAACACAATGACGCGTCCTCACTTTCTTCCCCCGTTTTTGTCCAGAGTGCTCCGCAAAAACCACGACAAGAATCGACCAGAAACGTTAACAGGGATGGAACGGTGCATTTATTCGGAGTATAGCGAGTTTTTCAGCAGTAGACCGCGCATCGTTTTGTTTTGGATACCACCGCGCGTTGCTGCGAGCGCGTGCCATTAAAGGTTCACCGACAGTTCCCATTGGTTTATGGTATATTTAGTACTGCTGCTATGATCGTTTCATAGGCCATACGTTGACGGCACCATAAACCTTCGAACAAGAGGCTTCGCCCTGCTTCTATTTCAAGCAGCAACCAACGTACATTGTACAACATATTCGGTAGATAATGGTCGGCCATTGGGGAAAATTGTTGCCAATTTTGTGTAAAACTGTAATATTGCGATACTGCGATATTGTGATGTTGCCATACTGCCATATCGCCATATTGTAATACTTTGATATTGTTATATTGTGGTTTTTCTTATATAGCAATGTTTCCATATTGTGAAATTGTGATATTGTGATGCTGTGACATTGTGATATTGTGATACTGTGATATTGTAATATTGTGACATTGTCATACTGTCATATCGCCATATTGCAATACTTTGATATTGTGATATTGTAAGATTGCCATACTGCCATATTGCTATATTCTGATATTGTCATATTGTAATATTTCCACATTATAAAATTGCCATATTGTAATACCTCGATATTGTGATATTATGGTATTGTCATGTAGTAATATTTTCATATTGTTACATTGTGATATTGTGATATTGTAATATTGTCAAGCTGCCATATTGTGATATTGTGATATTGTAATATTGCCATGTTGTAATATTTTGATATTGTGATACTGTTGTATTGTCATATAGTAATATTTTCATATTGTGATATTGTCATATAGTAATATTTTCATATTATTACATTGTGATATTGTGATATTGTCATATTGTCATATTCTCATATTGTCATATTGTCATATTCTCATATTCCTATATTCTTATATTATTATATTATTATATTATTACATNCGCCATGTTGTAATACTTCGATAATGTGGTACTGTCATATTTTAATATTGCCATACTGCCATATTGTGATATTGCTATATTGTGATACTACGACATTGTGACACTGCGATATTATAAAAAATATTGAGATATTATAATATTACGATATTATAATATTATAACTAATGTCAAGTACTGCAATATTCTGATATTATAATATTCTATTATCGTAGTTAGTAGTGTTTGTTTAAATTGTCTGTGGCAGTGTTGACTTTTTCATTATGTACTATATAATCAGCATCATTTAGTTTCCATAAGAAAAAAATCATTGCAATCGGTGCAACAATAAAAATGTCGCGAAATTCTAAAAGGATTACATAAATAAAGTATAGGATCGCAGATTTATGATGGACAACTATCAGGAAATTCAGTCAAGTGTATACTTCTATTCCGCTTTTTGCTTTCGTTACTTTCTAGCAAGAGAATCGGAAATTACGTAACCTGGCAACTGCTGCAAATTATAAACCTGCTGGGCACCTAATGACGCGTGAAGGTAATTAAGTGGTACAATTAGTGCAATTGATTACATACTACCATAAAATACCTCATAAACTGTGAAATATTTTTGCAAGCCACGGTATTATAGTTGTAATACTTTTTTACAAGCTGTAATATACACTGCCGATTTTCATTAATATTGTTACGTCGGGAAGTATGTGCGTACAATATCAACCAAAATGTAAAAAGTGCTAAATAATATTTTTGTGAACCGGTACGATTTACGCAATATAACTTCATTGAATGCATATTGCAATGCAAAAATAGGACGTTACCTAAAAGTGACATAATCATATTACATAAACATTTTCATTAGAATTACTGAAAATTGATAATTTTTTTTAACAAATTCTTGAAAATTCTTCCCTCGAATTGAAAATTAATTTATTAGATCTTGTGTGAATTGTGTCGATGATTAATTATGACATTAAATTATTAAATATGACAATATATAAGTACATACAGCAGATATGTTTGTAAATACTAATTTCTGTTAACATTCCTATCAACAAAGTTAAATTCCATTAAGTAAAAGTTTGCTTTCTCTGATAATATTCTTTCAAACTTTTTCTAACATTATCAGTCTTTTGACAAACATTCTTTGCCACTGAAATTGATTTTTAATTTCAAATTTTGACTTTGGAAACTTTTTATGTCTTAACAGTAAGTAGTATGTCGACGTTGCTTGCATGGAACGTTGCTGAGGAACGTTTCGAATACAACGACATATATTTTCACAATATTACGACCAGATGAATATGTTTAAATAATATTGATAACTTTAATTTATTATATGATTATATAACTTCAGTTTATTACTTTCATAACTAGACTGCGGCTTTTGTGCATTTATGGCAAAAATGTGTAGCTGAAATATGAAATTGCGACGACAATATGAAGAATTTAATAATATTGTTACACTGTTTTCAACTTATCAAAATTATTAAAGGAAACAGTTTATTTTTATTCAATTCGTATTTCTCGCAAGCCTGTTGGTAAATTTTTATTTTCCATAAAGATTCGCAATCTAGTTATAACACAAGTACTTCAAAGTTTGTATTCGAAATTTTTAAGTTCTTCAGGAAGCTTTAATTTCGGTGAATTTTTTGAAAGATTCTGGGCACAGTGGACATTGTTTTTTGCTCGTTAGCGTCGAGAAAAAGTGTAAAGTTGTACGCAAAGCGAGTAGAAAGTGGCGTCCGATAGCGTTGACAAGCCCGAATTGAATTTTCCCAGCGTGTTCGGGGGGTCTGTTTGAACGTTCCACGAAGTTGCAGTTGCATACCTGTTATTACTTTCCGTTGTTTTTCAAGTAAATAGCTGTTTATCGCTCACAGCGACAACTGAACCTTTCCCTGAGCGTCGGACCGCTGGAACTTGTTTCGGAAATCGTTCCACGAGCCGCCTTCCAGGCAGACATATCCCGGAGTTAAGAACATTACGTTCTCATAAATCAGCCTCGATTCGATTCGGCATAAATCATAATCGTGTCGTCGGGCGTATGCAGACATCTTTGCCCTACAGCATAGAGCTCCGTGAGAAAGATCCTCCGCGACGCTGACTCGCTCTCTCTTCTCATGATACCGCCGTTAACTGCTTTTAACCAGGGATGGAAAAAGTTCCGGAACCTTTTAATAGGTTCCGTTCAAAACAATGCTCGTAGAACTCCTTTTATCCAAATAAGTTCTCGCCTTTAAGTTACAACGACGATACATAAGAAGATGTTATTGGAAATACAAATTTTCAGTCAAGTAGAATTGACGAAATAAAAAAATGAGAATTTTCCGTGGTAACAGGAACAGATACCTTTTTCGCAAAAGTCATCGTTTCGCTCGTTTTCAATTGGTTTATAAAATACAGACTTCCGAGGCTTTCAATTTTCACGTATTTTCTTGAAATCGAGAATTGAACTTTTGCAAATCAGTTTTTTTTTTTTAAATCTATTGTACAGTCGATGTCACGGAATTTCATTGAAACAAACTATTGTATGATGGAGAATATGTTATATTAGGGGAGGTTTA